ACCATAATTTTTCAACAAATCAAGCACGAATTATAAAATATATAAACTAGCTACATTTAAACACAAATAACAAAATAACAATTTAAAGTTTCATAAGTTATCAAAAAGACTAACGTAACTTCATTTACAGGTAAAAGCATCGAAAACTGTAGATAAAATAAAAACATGATATTAGTTATTTTCTAATAAAACTGAATATATTATTTTTATTATAATTACTATAATTTTTAAATTTTTATTATACGACTTTAAATTCTTTAATTGAATATAATCTGTGATTATATTCAAATTTAGTTACCTGCAATGTACAATACATCATAATTCGTAACTTAATTTGTTAAAAAATTACAATGAACCTACCTCAATTGCAATATTATTTAATCAGGCTATTATGACAGGTGCTAGAAAAATAATAGTTTCACCAACGCACCTAGTTTATCTTCAAATAAAATCAATATTAATTAATTAATTAGACAATTAAACAAATGTCGTACCAAATGTAAAAACCATCATATCGTCTGTTTATTAAAAATTGTGGTAATGGTTACATAGATTTTTAAATATATATTAAATAAGTATATATAGGATGGCAATATCTAATGAATCCAGGTTATTGTGGTAAATAAGTATGCAATTAATTATTGAGGTGTTGTGTAAATTGTGCATGTAATGTAATGTATGAAAGAAGAAAGAGAAAAAACGAGAGTGATTTGGCATAGGTCAGTTGCAATTGTGTTTTAATAGTGAAAAGAGGTGTGAACATGTGATTGTGATAAATTAATTAGATTTATACTTAATATTTGTGTTTGATCATTTTTAGTAATTAAATAAAGAACTGTTCTTATTGATATTGATATTTCATCCAGCACTAACATTTATAATAATAACAATTAAAATTGTAATATTAAAAATATCATAGCAATTATAATGATAGCAATTGAAATTAAAACATCAAAAAATTAATCATACCTAAATACAATACATTGGAAGAAATATTACGAGATCACGTAGCCAAGGCGCCAACATTGAAAATGGAATTTTGAAGAAGAAATTAAAAAGCAATATATTTTCAATATATTATATTTATATTATAAATTATATTTTACATTATCGTTATTAAATTCAAAATTATTATTTCAACTAATATTTCACCCACCACTAACCAAAATAGTGTCTGTTCAATAAAAATTTTTTTAAAAATGACCACTGGAAAAACTGAGCCATCAGATTGGGTCTCCCTTAATTAAGATATCCAATATATTATTATATTATATTTATATTGTATTTATATTATAATATATTATATTTCTATTATATTTATATTTTATATTATCGTTATTAAATGAAAAATTATTATTTCAATTAATATTTCACCCACCACTAACCAAAATAGTGTCCGTTCAATAAAAATTTTTTTAAAAATGACCAATCGAAAAACTGAGCCATCAGATTGGGTCTCCCTTAATTAAGATATCCAATATATTATTATATTGTATTTATATTGTAATATGTTATATTTATATTGTATTTATATTATAAATTATATTTTACATTATCGTTATTAAATTCCAAATTATTATTTCAACTAATATTTCATCCACCACTAACAAAAATAGCGTCTGTTCACTGAAAAAATTTTTAAAAATGATCAATCGAAAAACTGAATCATTAGACTGGCTCTCCTCTAATCAAGACACCTAGCCTCTGCTCTATTAGAAACAATGGCATCACTGACGAAATGGCCGAATATTTTAACAAATAATTAGAATTCACGAGCTGTCGATGCCATAAGATCGTGATACACGTTGCTTCGAACTCATTAACTTATTAATTCGCGCGCTTCGGCAATATTTCCATGCTCTTATCACGAATCAGGTAAATTACCGAACACTTATGAGTGGTAATGTGTACACGATCGAACGTAGCTTTCGTCGCTGGAATCGAGATCGATGGTGACAGGTGCTGTTCACCATCTTACTATGTCGAAGGTGTTCCCATGGAAGTGACTTAATTTTTGCCTGATCCCCCATACCCGTGCTCCCTTTTTCGTTAAAATATTATCCTTTTTCAGCGGCCGACAGCGATACCCTTGTACGTGTATTCCATCTTCGGGATTATAAATTAAAACGTGGCTTTCGAAAGGGTTTTCGCCGAAATTTATAGCGATTAATCGGTGTGATTCGAGTGATAAATTATTCCATTAAATTTCGTCGGGCCCCGTGAATATCCTTTCAAACTACTATTTTCGATCCGAACATTCTAATTGCTGCGTAGATCGTGAAATTTAACAGAGAAAGGAGGTGACGAACACTATGCTACGAAATATTGGGTGATTTATAAAACCTTTTTACGATTTTTAGTCGATCAGTGTATTGCAAAGTTTGGAACTGACTATAGAAATGTCAAAAACATTGAATTCTAGGATTATTGGAAAATTATTTATTTTTAATATTTTATTTTTGTAATTTCGTGAAATTTAACGGAGACAGGAGATATAGAATACTATAATATGAGATATTGAATGACTTCTGAAACTTTTTAGGAATTTTAATGATACAGTGAGCTAACAATGTATTAGAAAGTTTGGAATTGACAATAGAAATGTCAAAAAATTGGATTCTAGGAGTGTTAAAAGATTATTTATTTTTAATATTTTATTTTTGTAATTTCGTGAAATTTAATGGAGACAGCAGATATAGAATACTATAATATGAGATATTGAGTGACTACTGAAACTTTTTAGCAATTTTAATCAGTATATTGAAAAGTTTGGAAGTGACTATAGAAGTGTCAAAAAATTGGATTCTAGGATTATTAAAAGATTATTTATTTTTAATATTTTATTGTTGTAATTTCGCGAAATTTAACGGAGGAAAGAGGTAAAGAATATTATAGTATGAGATATTAAATGATTTCTAAAATTTGCTAACAATTTTAGCGATACAGTGAGATATAGCGATAACTGTATTGGAAAGTTTGGAATTGGCTATAGAAATGTCAAAAAATTGGGTACCAGGATTATTAAAAGATTATTTGTTTTTTATTTTATTTTTGTAATTTCATGAAACTTGATGGAGGAAGGAGTTAACGAATATTGTGGTACAAGATATCGAGTGATTTCTAAAATTTTTTAACAATTTTATTAATACATGGAGATATAGCAATGAATGTATTGGGAAATTTAGAATTGATTATAGAAATGTCAAAAAATTGGGTTCTAGGATTATTATTTTATTTTTGTAATTTTGCGAAATTTAACGGAGAAAGCAGGTAAAGAATACTATAATATGAGATATTCAGTAATTCCAAAACTTTTTTACGAATTTTAGTGATACAGTGAGATATAGCAATCAGTGTATTGGAAAATTTGAAATTGACCATAGAAATATCAAAAAATTGAATTCTAGGATTATTAAAAAATTACTTATTTCAAATATTTTATTTTTGCAATTATTGGAGAAATGGAACTGCTCCAAAATATTTTAGCATTCTTAAAATTTTTATTAATTAAACGTAACAGGGATATATGAAGTATTATAATAGATAGGTATTGGGTGGTGTACAAAATTTTGAAAAATTTTTAATTTAACGGTTACTTTGTTGAAATGAATTTTATTACAGTTAGAGTTAATAACGCTGTAATGACTATTTTATAAATTATTAAATTAATACTAGGATTATCGAACAAGTGAAAATAACTTGCTTAAAATAATTTTGCAATTAGGTATTTTAAACAAGCAACTAATTTTTACAAAATTAATCATTTCTCTTAAAATAGATATACTAAGATACCTACTTAAATATTTTTCTATTCATTTCAGGTTCGTAATCCAAGTATTAAAGACTATACCTCAAAAAACAGAAATTTGTTAAATTTAACACAGCTGAATATTATTTCTTTCGATCCTCCAATGATTTTAATTACAAATTTTAAAAAATCTCCTAAACTTCAATAAATATCTTCATTTCCAATATCCAACCAAGATACTGACAGCTTGAAATAAGCAAATACAATTTCTACTTTAAAATACAAGCTATTTTCGTATTCTAAAATAGTCAATTTCAATGTCAATACACAAATACAATTTCTATTTCGGAATACGAATGATTTTTCACGTACCTCTCGAACCACGAACTATTCGAGATGCATAATAATCGTAAAAGCATCCAGCACGAAACCATGCGAACGAACTGATTAAACGTGTCATTGTCATCATCAGTTAGTCGATGACTCAGAATCTCAGAATCCTACAATCTTTTCCTTCCTCAAATAGAGTCCAATTAACATAACTCCATCGAGAAATATCAATTTACCACACGCTGGATACTATTACTGAATACTACTATTACCAAGTGACAATGAAAGGAGCAAGGATGAACATAGGGGGCCAAGGTTAACAAAAGAGCCATTGAACTATAACCCAACGATTACTGTTAAAACAATGCGTTTATTGAGTTCTGCACGAGGTGCGGTCGGTTTCAACAAAAACACCGTGTATGTGTCGTTATATCTATATATATAATATAAAAAAAAAGAAAAGAAAAAAAAGTAGAGAAATGCCTCTTAAACATAACAAGTTAAAATCTATAATAATAATAATCCTTCTAATTTACGTGAATATAGCTTATCTCAGGTACAAAAATCGAACCCTATCACAGACGTGTCACTTAAAGCTTCGTCACCTATTTACATACAGTGAGATGAGGGAAGAAAATTACAGATAAGACAGTTTCTTTTCCAAGAACGGTGCCGAACGGTACAGATTAATTACATTTAAGAACGAAGTCTATCATCCTAACAGATTACTCTAACCGAGGAGCTCGACGGGTCACGAGGCTCGGCGAATTTTTCAACATATGGAAGACAATGATTCGTCGTTTTCCCTCCCATTCGCTGTCTCCGTCCCTGTGCTCCGTCATTGACAGCGTGATCACCGAGGAAGGAACGGTGTGAAACGTAGCCGAAATTCCTCCAGAATCGTCCAAACCCAGCCTCTCCATCACCACGGTCTCCAAACAGCGTTAGAGGACTCAGTGGACTCGCCGGAGGAGCTAGCCACGCTGACAGGGCTCTGCGGTGGCGTGTAGACGTTCTGGGGTACGTTGATCATCACGTTCGCAACTGGACTGACAGCTGGTGTCGTTTTGCCGACAGTAGTGACCGTCGTGGTGGCAGTATTGGTGCCAGAGATGGTGCTCGAAGCTGGACCCTCTAGTCTCCGAAGGCAGCCACCCAGGTGTCTCATCAACTGAGCACCAGCAGCGGGATGGACAGCGGCTGCGACAGGGGTGGACAGGAACGAAGACACCTCCTGCGCGCACTGAGTGAATCCTTCCCTGAATCTGTCGGCATAGCTGTTCTCAGGCGTGAGAGTTAGCCTCCTGGCAGCTCTGAGGGTGTGTAAGTGACGAACGGTGAGCTCCAAGATATCAGCCTTCTCCAACTTGGCCACGTTCTCTCCCTCGGCCTGCAGAGCCGTCACCATCAGATCCTTCAGCTCGTCCAGGCAACGATTGATCCTGGCTCGCCTCTTCCTCTCCAGCATAGGCTTCATCACCTTTCTATATTGGTACGTCCTCGACACTGGCTCCTCGTACTCCATACTGGCGACAGGCGTGTAGCTGGTGTGCGGTGCCATGGTTGGAACGAAACGGAGCTTAAGCTGGATATCCTCTGCTCACTTGCCACTTGTCACAAAACAGGCCCGTGGTTCGAGAAAACGGATCGAGAACCCGATGTGTGATGTTCCGACGGATTGACAGTCGGTTGACAGAGAGAGAGAGAACGGCAAGAGCGACTCGTTAACGCGCGGGATGTCTGCGCTGAGGAAAGACAGTATCGACTCGTGTGAATGTGTGTCTCTGCGTGTGTGTGTGTGTGTGTGCGTCCTCGGGATCCGAGACTGCGGCACGCTACCGTGTTCACGACGGTTCTGAATCACTGGTGGGGACCGACCGCCTACATATACCGTCCACGGATCCATCCCCACCACACTGTCCCAACACGCTGCCCCTTCCGTGCAGCGGCGAAGTCCCTTCACGGGGGTAGGGTGTCGGCCGCGGGGCCAGGGGCACGGAAAGGGGGAGACGCACGAGTGAACCCTGCAGCCCGTGCACAGCCAGCCAGCCAGCAGCCGGAGCGTATCGTGGGAAGCTCGCGGGCCGAACAGTTCCCACAGATCGAGGGCCTGTTGGGCCCGGCACAGGTTCCCTCCACACGCGTCTCGCGACCGTGTGTGCGCGCGTGTACGTGTGTGCTCGCTCGAGTGGCGCAGGGGGGCCCCTTCGTGGTGCCAGAGCGCGCGGGAGAGGACCTTTTCGTGCACACCTGCACGCACTCGGCTTCGCGAGCGGGAGAATGGGCATCTCTCGGTGTGTGCTGCCGCTCTCTGTCGTTGCTTCTGCTTCTCTCCTACTACTCTTACCCCTGCTACCCCTATGGCCCCTGACCCAGGCGTCGCGAGGGGCCGGAGGGGAGGCGGTGCAGGGGAAAAAAGAAGCGGCGAGCACACGCCATGACGCGCGACCAGCACGAGGACGACCCGCGCGCGCGATCCGCTCCGATCCTCGCGCTCTCTTAGACGCTCTCGCTCGCTCCTCTCTTCCGCTACTGCTTCTTCTTCTTCTTCGTCTTCGTCGTCCTCGTCTTGTTTCTCCCGCCGCTTCTCTTGTTCGTCGCTTTTGTTCGAGCCTCCGCTGCTCGTCGCCGCCGAGAACGATATCGTTGGCGATTCTATCGCGCGCGCCGCGCCGCTCTGCTCGCGGATGCTCTTTTGCACCGGGCTTCCAGGGGTCGCTGCGCAGCTCTGCCGGAAGAGGCGAGAACGCTTCTCCCGATCGGCAGTTTCGTTTTGATCACGTTCGGGGATTTATTTTGAATGACGTCCGGCAATTGCGTCCCGGCCGACTTGAAAGTCATACATTTGCTCGTGGATTTTGAGTATGCAAATAAGCCGAGTAAGGTGAAATGATTGCAGAGCTTCTTCGCGTACGGGGCGAATTCTGTTCCGTGATGTTGCGTAAGGCTCTTAAAACCCTTTACACTCGAGATTTGGGAAAATTTTGGAGATACATTTAATGTGTCAGATTGAAGATGTGACGGTGAGCGAGTTTTGAGTTTCTGTCTTGTAGCTTGAATGGGTAAGATGATAGGCTTTGGCAATGTGAAATGCTCGTTTTTAAAATTAGTAGCTCCTTGATGATGATACCTCAGTATTGCGATGTATCGGAATTAAATGATTCTACGTGTTAATTATTATAGGAGTTCTTATTTGGTGTTCAAGAAAATATCGTCAGATTTATAGCAGAGAATCTTCGAATTTTTAATCTTCTGTAGCCAAAGTACTCAAAGAACAGAATTAGACATCAGTCACTGTTTAATAAAATTTTTGATGGTCGATATTAATTAATATATGAAATTTAGAATAACGTGAGAGTAGGCGAGGTATCGTAATTAAATAATTGTACGTGTTAATTATTATAGGATTTCTTAGTTGATGTTCCAGAAAATATCATCAGATTTATAGCAGAGAATCTTCGAATTCCTAATCTTCTGTAGCCAAAGTATTCAAAAGACAAAATTAGAAATCAGTCAAGATTTAATAAAATTTTTGGAGATCGATATTAATTAATATGTCAAATTTCGAATAATGTATCGTAATTAAATGATTGTACGTGTTAATTATTATAGGATTTCTTAGTTGCTGCTGGAGCAAAAAATAAAAATTTCCTTTAGTTTCCTATTTTTTCCAAAAAATTCTCGTCTCGAGATAAAGAAAAGGGGGAATTACTATTTAATTCTAATGCACAAAAAGAAATAATTCGGCAATCTTCTAAAATGGATAAAAATGAAGGAGCAAAAAATAAAAATTTCCTTTAGTTTCCTATTTTTTCCAAAAAATTCTCGTCTCGAGATAAAGAAAAGGGGGAATTACTATTTAATTCTAATGCACAAAAAGAAATAATTCGGCAATCTTCTAAAATGGATAAAAATGAAGGAGCAAAAAATAAAAATTTCCTTTAGTTTCCTATTTTTTCCAAAAAATTCTCGTCTCGAGATAAAGAAAAGGGGGAATTACTATTTAATTCTAATGCACAAAAAGAAATAATTCGGCAATCTTCTAAAATGGATAAAAATGAAGGAGCAAAAAATAAAAATTTCCTTTAGTTTCCTATTTTTTCCAAAAAATTCTCGTTTCAAGATAAAGAAAAGAGGGAATTACTATTTAATTGTAATACATAGCAAGAAATAATTCGGCAATCTTCTAAAATGGATAAAAATAAAAATTTCCTTTAATTCCCAACCTCTTCCAAAAAAATTCTTGTCTCGACATAAAGAAAAGGGGGAATCACTATTTAATTTTAATACACAACAGAAAATAATTCAGCAATCTTCTAAAAAGACTGAAAATGAAACACCAAAAACTACAAATTTCCTTAATTCCCAACCTCTTCCAAAAAATTCTCGTTTCAAGTTAAAGAAAAGAGAGAATTACTATTTAATTCTAAAACACGACAGGAAATCATTCAGCAATCTTCTAAAAAGGCTAAAAATGAAATACCAAAAAATACAAATTTTCTTTAATTCCCAACCTCTTCCAAAAAATTCTCGTTTCAAGTTAAAGGAAAGAGGGAATCACTATTTAATTCTAAAACACGACAGGAAATAATTCAGCAATCTTCTTATCAGTCACCGTTTAATACAATTTTTGGAGATCGATATTAATTAATATGACAAATTTGGGATAACGTGAGAGTGTGCGAGGTATTGTAATTAAATAATTGTACGTGTTAATTATTCTACAATTTCTTATTTTCTGATCAAGAAAATATTATTGGATATATATAACAGATAATTTTTGAATTTTTACTCTTCTTTAACCAAACAATCGTCAGGTGCCAATACGTGAATATTAATGGATGTAATATCTCCTTTATGTTTTAAATTTTAATACCGGTACTCGAATAGCATATTTTAATTTTTATTATAACATATTATGTTTAATAAGTTAAGATCAACCGAAAGGGAAATAATTTAATTTTCGTTATACGATTTATCGTATAATTGTTCTCAGAAAATTCAATTCCTCTGATTTATTACACGTCGTTTACATTGGAATAAATACTCAGCACAAAATCTGAATATTACAATATAAATTCCAATTTTTTAATTAAAAAAGAGAAACTGATTAAAAATCTAGTATGTAAAATACTTCGAAAATATATAGTTATTTTATATATATCGTGTTTATCCAAATTCATATTTTATTTAAATTCATAATTAAAATAATGCACTTCACATAATATGAAGATGCGAATTCAAAGATGTTATAAATGTCCAATTTCCTATAGATTATACCTATAAAAAGAATGATACAATATATACACTATGTAATGTGTCTTTCCAAACCACGAAACTTTTGTATAAAACAGTTTTCTTCTTTTTCAGAAGTTATAAAATTATATATACTGTATAGACAAATAATAAACGTATAATAAAATTATTATATATTTATATATATTATAATATAAAGGATAAATAATATATATTATAATACTATAATATGAAGGATATTGTCACATTAAAAAAAATAAAATTTTAAAATACATTAGGTATTATATATAGTAGATATAGTATATATAGTAATAATAATTTCGTGACTCAATTGAACAAATAAATGTTCAGCACCACAACAAGAAATAATTTGACAATCTTTCATAATGGATAAAAATGAAGGAGCAAAAAATAAAAATTTCCTTTAGTTTCCTATTTTTTCCAAAAAATTCTCGTTTCAAGATAAAGAAAAGAGGGAATTACTATTTAATTGTAATACATAGCAAGAAATAATTCGGCAATCTTCTAAAATGGATAAAAATAAAAATTTCCTTTAATTCCCAACCTCTTCCAAAAAAATTCTTGTCTCGACATAAAGAAAAGGGGGAATCACTATTTAATTTTAATACACAACAGAAAATAATTCAGCAATCTTCTAAAAAGACTGAAAATGAAACACCAAAAACTACAAATTTCCTTAATTCCCAACCTCTTCCAAAAAATTCTCGTTTCAAGTTAAAGAAAAGAGAGAATTACTATTTAATTCTAAAACACGACAGGAAATCATTCAGCAATCTTCTAAAAAGGCTAAAAATGAAATACCAAAAAATACAAATTTTCTTTAATTCCCAACCTCTTCCAAAAAATTCTCGTTTCAAGTTAAAGGAAAGAGGGAATCACTATTTAATTCTAAAACACGACAGGAAATAATTCAGCAATCTTCTAAAAAGGCTAAAAATGAAATACCAAAAAATACAAATTTCCTTAATTCCCAAC